GGTCGCCGACACCCGGCGCCTCAACGCGAAGCCGCAGGACCTGACGGACGCGTACGGGCCGCCCAGCAACTTCCTGGAGATCGACATCTTCAACCCGCAGACCGTGGGCATGGGCCGCGCCAGATACACCAGCTACGAGCTCCGCATGCGGGTGCGGCCCGCGCCGCCGCCCGGGGCCGCGGGGGGGGCCGGGGGGGCCGGGCTCAAGGTCAGGGCGCTGGGGAAGGGGCTGCGGTGCCGCCGGGCAGGGCCCGGGCTCCCCCCTCGGCGGCCGCGCGGGCCCAGCGCCTCCCGTGGCCTTCGGGGCCTTGCCAGGCCGGGGACCCCATCAGCACCAGGCGGTGCCCGCGGAAAGCAGGGAGCCCCCATGAGAGCCCCTTAGTCTCAGGGATGCTGGGTGCTCATGGGGTCCCCTTAGTCTCTCGGGCACGAGCTCTTGCCTGGGGCTCCCTAACGAGCGGCTTCGCTCCGCAGACCTGATGGGAATCCAGCTGTGCGCGAGGGGCAGCGGCTGCTGCGCACATCTGGTGCCCGCCTGTCACCGTTCGGCTGCCCCCAGGTCCCGGAGAGCTTTGGGGTGTTTAGGTGGGGGTGTGGAGCGGGAAGGCTCCGCAGCTCCCAGTCTTCAGACGCCAACATGGGGGAAAAGGGGAGGAACTGCTGCGAGCTGCTGTCGTGGCCTGGGCTGGAGGTGGAGAAGGAGCTTTTCCATTTGGGTGCCGGTGCGCTCTGTCAGGAGGGTTGTAGCGCAAGGTCTGGCCTTGGATGGCTGCTGGGACGAGATTTCCTCCCTTAGCTCTTCCATGGAAACGGCGGTGCCAGATGGGAGGTTCGTTAGCCCTGCAAGCTGCGCTGAAGCCTCCCTGAGCACCGGTCCAAAATGCTGTGAAATAGTGGGGGAAATGAGGCCTCTGTGCAGCAGGAGCCCTGGTTGCAGCGCGTGCCCTGGGAGGGGGGGTTCCCGAAATAGCAGCCTGAGGGGGAGGGAAGGGCCGGCTCCGAGCAGCCTGGCAGCTGCCTGCTTGGTTGTGAAGGGCTTCCGTGCCTGTGTCCCGGATAACGGAGCCGGGTGTCCTCGCGACGCGTCCTTCTCGGCGCCTTGGCTTTCCACGTGCAGCGTCAGGTTCCAGCGACCTCTTGAAATGCTGCCTGGCTCCCCAGCCAACCTGCGCGTTAACCGCTTCTCTTCATTGCAGACAAACCTCCCCATCTTCAAATTGAAGGAGTCGTGCGTGAGGAGAAGATACAGTGACTTTGAATGGCTGAAGAACGAGCTGGAGCGAGACAGCAAGGTGAGACGGCGCTCGAAGCCGCTCCTACAGCGGCGGCATGTGGGAACAGTCGTGACAAGAGCCCTCTCGTTTGATCCTGCCCCTCTGGGGAGGCCAAACCTGGAGCGTTGGGGGCAGTTCTGGGCTCCCCAGGACAAGAGGGATGGGGAGCTTCTAGAAAGGGTCCAGCAGAGAGCAACAGTGATGAAGGGACTGGAGCGTCTCTTGTATTAGGAAAGACTGAGTGAGTTGAGCCTGTTTAGCCTGGAGAGGAGAAGGTTGAGAGGGAATCTGATCAATATTTACAAATACTTGAGGGGAGAACATAAAGAAGATGGAACCAAACTCTTCATGATGGTGGCCAGTGATCTAGGACAAGGGGTAATGAGTGCAAGTTGAAACACAGGCAGTTCCATCAGCATGTGAGGAGGAACTTTATCATGAGGGTGACAGAGCACTGGCGCAGGCTGCCCATGGAGGTTGTGGAGTCTCCGTCTCTGGAGATCTTCCAAACTCGCCTGGATGCCTCCCTGTGCTCTGAGTGTCCCTGCTGGAGCAGAGGCTGGACTAGAGGATCTCTAGAGGTCCTTTCCACCCTCAACCCTTCTGTGCTTCTGTGTTTTGCCCAAGGAGAGGCTGTTTTGGCTTCTGCTGGCGCTTGATCTCTGCCAAGTGCTGGCGCTGGAGGTCAGTCCTGTCTTGCAGGGGGCAGTTCTGCTAACGCAGGTCTCTGCTTTCAGATTGTAGTGCCACCGCTGCCTGGCAAAGCTTTGAAACGGCAGCTTCCCTTCCGAGGAGACGAAGGCATCTTTGAGGAGTCCTTCATTGAGGAGCGGAGACAAGGACTAGAACAATTTATTAACAAGTAAGCTCAGTGCCCTGGCCGCGCTGCGTGCCGGCCCTGCCGCCTGGTGGGTTGAGCAGGATGGAATCTGTATCCAGTGCGTGAAGTGCCCCGTTTGAGGGCAGTTTGGTGACAGAGTGACGTTTCTGAAGCAAGTCCTGCCTGCAGGGAGGAGCTTTCAGGGCCCTGTGCTGGGCTGAGGGGCAGCTCAGCCGGGGCGATGCGCTGCAGAGACTGGTGGCCGGGCAGTGCTTTGGGATGCCCAGTTTGCTAGTGGAGGGATTGCTCCAGTGTCCCTTCCTGGCCCTGTCACACACTGATCCAGTGACCTTGGCCCAGCCTGTGGCTGTTTCAAGGCTTCAATTTGATGCTGAAAAGCACAAGGCCCTGGGCCTATTCCCCTCGGGCGGTCAGGTGTCCCAAGGTGTCATCATAAACTGGTATCTTTCTTATTTCCTCTCTCCATCAAGTGGATTTGGGGATTCCTTTGTGGTGCCTGTGCTGATCTGCACTTCTGATTCTCTTCCAGAATTGCTGGACACCCCCTGGCACAGAACGAGCGCTGCTTACACATGTTCCTGCAAGAGGAGACTATCGATAGGAATTACGTCCCAGGAAAAGTGCGCCAGTAGGAGCACCTGGCACTGTCTTCCTCCATTCCACCCTCCCTCCTGCAAAAATGACATTTATTTTTACACTAAATCTGTCTCTTCTGAACCAGCTTTTCCTCTCTCGAGCCTCCCAGTTTGTTCAGTATTTTCCTCTTCTGTAGCTGGCAGCAGTCTGTTCTGCTGGGCTCTGCTCCTGGCCCAGAGGTATGAAGATTGATGGCAGTGAGCGTGTGGTGCTGCGCCTGGCGGCAGGCGCCTCGGGTCGGAGCAGGAACTCGCTTGTGGCGCTGCGCTGTGTGAGCTGCCCGTGTCCCCGCGCAGAAAGGTGTGAGGTGACCTTGCTCCCTGCCCACGCAGCCCCCGCGGGCCGCGCCGGGGAACAGCACTGGTCGCGTTGCTCAGAGGTGGCCCCGAGCGTTAGCGTTGCAGCGAGGCTTGTCCAGAGCAGCGAGTTCTTGGCCCCGCGTCCGCCCCGCATGAGCCCCTCGTTGTGCACGGTGTGGCGGTGCCATCCATGCCGCGGAGCCCCCTGCTCCCCGCTTGCGGAGGAGGAAGAGGATGGTCTGAGGAAGAGCAGCGGGGGGGACGGTGCCCAGCCCCGCAGTGAGGCTGCCTCTCCCGAAGGGGCTGGTGGCAGCGCGAGGTCAGCGCTGGATTAGGCGCTCGCTTACGAAACGGGATAAGGGCCGATGATCCTCTCGCCCGCGCTGCCACCAGCCAGGCCGTTGCGCCCACAGGAGACCCCAGGCCAGTCCAGGAACTGTGGGGAGCTGGAGAGGGACCCTGGGCTGTGCCCTGCTGCCCTTTGGAGACCCCTGTGGCTCCCGCACAGTGAGGCCCGGCCTCTGCTCCGGGCTTCGCTAGCTTGTGGGCTGCTGCTGGGCTCCTTGTGAGCGTCCCGAGCTCAGTGGCAGTGCGGATGGGCCCGTCCCGGAGAGCGGGTCCCAGCAACGGCCCCGGCCATGCTGAGTGCATCCCCTTGGCAGCGTCCCGGGGCTCTTGTGGCCAGGAACGGGCACCCGTGGGCGAGAGGGGGGTCTCGGAGAGAAGGAGAAGTCGCTGAAACGAGGAGGGAGCTGCTCGCGGGGCCGGCGCGCGGCGCCTCGTCCCGTTATCCGCTGCGGGGCTGTTCTCCACCACGCTGTCTACACCCTGTCCAGTGTAACGTCCCGGTTCCGTTCGCATTAAACCACTGTGAAGCCACCCTGTGTCTGGCCTGGCTCTGTGGGGACGGGGGGCGCCAGGGGGGACGGGGGCTGCGGCTGGAGGGGCCGGGCGGGAAGGCCCGGGATGTGGTTGGGAAGGGGGCGGGAGGAGCCCCTGGGAGGGGTGCGGGGGTGAGGGCAGGGGGGCCGCCCCGGGAGCCCGCTGATCCCGGGCTGATCCCGGGCCGGGGCGGGAGGGGGCGGTGTGTGCCCGGGCTCGAGGGGCCGCTGTCCCGGCCGCTCCGCTGTCCCCGCCGCTCCGGTGTCCCCGCCGCTCCGCTGTCGGGGTCGCTCCGGTGTCGGGGTCGCTGCGGGAGAGCCCCGGGAGGGGCGCGGGGCTTTCCCTGCCCGTTCCCCGCGCCCGCTTCCTCCCCGGCGCGGCGGGCGCTGCCAGGGCCGGGCTGGCGGCTCCTGCGTCACGGCGCGGCCTGCGGGCGGCGGCCCCGCGCGGGGAGCCCCGCGCCCGCGGAGCCTCGGGCTTCCTCCCCGGGGCCGCTGCGAGCCGAGGCTGCTGCAGCACCGGGCGCTTTGTCGCCGCCGGCGTCTCCCGCGCCGAGAGCCGCCTGTTGCTCCGGAGTTTCTCCTGCGGGCGGGAAGATGCTGCCCGGCGCTGGCTCCGCGCCGAGCGCCACGGAGCGCGGGCTGAGCGCGGCCGTGCCCCCGCGCCCGCGCTGGCCTCCCCCGCGCCCCGCAGCGCTCCCAGCCCCAGAGCCGGCCACGTCCTCCCGGCACAGGGAGCTGCGACCACAGGGACCACCCGTCCCTCCTCATCCCCTCCCTCTGCCCGCAGACCCTTCCCGTCGGGCTCGGATGGCGCCGGGCCCCGCTCAGCGCTGCCAGCTCCCCGTGCCCTCGGCTGCCTTTAGGACTTGGAATAAAATGGGATCTGTAAACGTGGGTTTTGACCCAAAGGAGGGGTGGCTGCGGGCAGCAGCAATGGCGGTGCCGCCGGGAAGGGGGCAGCCCCGTAGAGATGGGGGAGCCCCGAGGGGCTCTGCGTGGCCAAACTGGGATCGGCGCCGGGATCGGCACCGGAACCAGGATCGGCACCGGGCGCGGGGTGCGGGAGCCG